GTGGCCCCCTCCTTGGCGTGTGCACCCCCCCCCCTCCTCTACACGCCGGGGAATCCGTATCAGATATACAGTACAACGTTTTCGAGGAAGTAGCCTTTGACGCCTTCCCAGGGTTGGCAAAATTGAGTGACCGTCTGATCGCGGCGACGGGGAAAGTGCCCCACCTTTCAGGCGCGGGCCCGGCGTTGTATTTCCTGCCTTCGACCAAAGACGAATATCAGACAGTATCCGACGCCTTGCAACCTTGTGAAGCACGGGTATACCTTGTACAGACCGTCGACTGTGGCCACTTGACGCCGGCACCGGGCTGAGTCGATGTATTTTACGAATTCAGAGAGCTAGCCAATGGATGTTTTGGCCGCAATAAGTATAGGCATGGGCCCCAACCTTATTCAGACCGCCGGTTTTGTGCTGGCGTGGCACGGCATTTTCACTTTCGTCGCTGTCGCAGTCGCGGTGTTCTTGGCAGCCAGCTGGGGACGTCGAGAAGGCTTGAATGCAGACGCCATATATTCGGTTTCCCTATGGTCCATCATTGGCGGCATCGTAGGCGCCCGGGTGATCCACGTTATTGACTTCTGGGAGATTTACAGCAGCAATTTCATGCGGGCGTTCTTCATCTGGGAAGGCGGCGTCGCTATTTATGGCCGCTGTCTGACTGGCGGGCTTTCGTCGCGGGCGCAGCTATACATCATCATCCGCAACTCGGACCAGTTCCCGGCCTTTTGGGGGGCGTTGCGCAGGATTCTCCCAATCTTTCCAGAGCCTCACAAAGCGCCGCTTCCGGGGATTGGGCACATGGCGGACGTCGTCGCCCCGGCGCTGTTGATTGCCATGGCCATAGGGAGAATCGGCGACATAATCAACGGAGAGCACTTCGCCAAGGCTACGTCGCTGCCTTGGGGCTTCGTTTACACCAATCCTGACAGCTTGGGTTTCGGCAGGCCCATATCTCATCCCGCAGTGGCCTACGAGTTGCTGTTTGACTTGGCGTTGGCAGCCGCCATCTGGCCGTTGCGAAACCGGTTGCGGCCCAGAGGAATGTTCTTCGTGCTGTACGGAGCGTTGTACTCTATCGGCAGGTTCTTCCTGAGTTTCCTGCGGGTGGAGTCTCAGACCTACTTCGACTTCCTGAACCAAGCGCAGGTCCTGGCTTTGATCGTGATTGTAGTGGCAGTCCCTCTCCTGGTGTTCAGAGCCCAGATCGTGCGTGGCCCGGCGCCAGGGAAGAGTAAGGCAAGCCACAACCCTCGGCGGACGGGTGTGTTCCGTGTGGTGGAGGAAGGCCTGTTCAGCAGTCCCACGCCCGTCTGCATTGGCGAAGTATCACACCGAATGTGACAACGCGAAGCCGAAGGAATTACTCATGGCCACGTTGACTTTATGATTCCTTGACTTGTTGGGAGTGTAGTCAAGGTCGCACCCCGGTTCCGGTTCGCTCAGGTTAATCGTGGGCGGGACGATACCGTTCCGGATGGACATTATGCAGATCGCCGCCTCCAGCGCGCCGCCGGCTCCCAGCAGATGCCCCGTCATAGATTTGGTAGAACTCAGAGGCAGTCCGTAGGCGTGTTCTCCCAAGGCAGCTTGATTAGCCATTGCGTTTCCTGCTGTCGTTTCAGCGGAGGAGCAGGTAGTTAGAAAGGTTGCATGGGCATTGACGTAGTCCACGTCGGCGGGCCCTATATTGGCGGACTCCATCGCAGTCTTCTGGGCGTGGCCCGCGCTTTCAGCCGCTGCGAGGCCCAGGTCAGCGTCAGATGATGCGAGTTTCGGACGTTGTGCCCACGTAGACCCCACGTAGCTCGGACCCCAAGGGCGTTGGCAGCCCCCTCTCTTGGGGCAGTGGCTTCTTTCCAGCACCAGCACAGCCGCGCCTTCAGCCATCACGAACCCGTCGCGATGAAGATCGAATGGCCGGCTTGCCTGTTTAGGGTCTTCATTGAACCTGGACAGGGCGCGCATGGAATTAAACCCCGCGACGGCAATGGGGGTAATGGAGGCCTCGCTGCCGCCGGCGAGGATAACGTCCTCTTTGCCGCGGCCGACCGTACGTCGCCGTTTTAAACGTTCCAGCCTGGCACAGGTGCATCGCGGCAATGGATGCACGAGGAAACCGGGCAGTAATTGGCTCCCATCGCCCCGGTGACCATCGAGACTTGGGCAGAGGCCATGTCTCCCAGCATCATGGGAACCAGAAATGGGCTGACGCGCCGGGGACCTCGCTGGCCTTACGCACATTCGAATGTGTCGAGACGAAGGGTGAGATACCACCGATGGCGATGCCTCCTATAATGAGCGCCCAACCCTTAGAAGGGCATCCTTCTCCCTGTCGGCACTTCCTTGGGGTACGCCGCTCGCTGCGCGGAGGCCTCTTGCGCGAGCGGGCCCCTGTATGCCATTTGGCAAAACACCGAACCATACGGCGGGCTTCTTTTCTGTCCAGGTAACGCTCGCCATCGAACCCTTTGACCTCGCCCGCGAATCGAGTGTCGAAACAATCTCTCCGCGTCAAAGGCGGTGATGAAATCTATACCCGAATTTCCCTTCACCAGATTGTCCCACGTTGAAGCAACGTCCAACCCCAAGGGGCTGATAATCCCCATTCCGGTGATGAAAACGCGGCCGAATATGCTCATGTTATTCCCAGCAGTTCAAATTAGGCAGACGGACAGTTTTCTATGTTTGCGTTCCCAAAGGGAGACGTCCAGTACTTGGCCCAGACGAGGCCATAAAGGAATTAAGGCGAAGCAACACGTGAGCATATAGAATAGAAGACACGGCCCAAACGTAGGTTGCTCCCCCCGTCACAAGACCGTCTTGGTCAGAGGTAACTCCGCATTTCGGCCAGCCGTATCCACTGCGAGGTCGGTTTTCATTTGATATTAATGGTTCTGGTTACGCGCAGGCTCTGTCATAACGTTGTTGACGATTTCGCTGAGCTCGTTGATGCGGAGCGAAACTGTCGCCTCCAACTCTTTGCTACCGGCGTTAACAGGCGCAGACAGAGGGCCACTAAGGAATCGGTTAGTTCGTTGATCTTTGCGCCAATGTTGTCCACAACCTCGCGGCGGGCGTTGGCCAGCGGTTGAGACACGGACCGAAGCTTGTCCGCCAATTCCCTCACCCGTTGGGACAAGCTGTCCCCGAATTCCGAGCCAGCCATCGACACCGGGTCCGACCAACTGCGCAGATTTTCCGTGGCGTCGGTCAACCGGGCACTGATGCTGTCGCCCAGGTCACGGCTGGTGGTGGCCAAACGCAGCCGGTAGGTGCGCAAGATGCGGAAAATACGCCGGTAGAGATCATCCACCGGGGCCAGCTTGGCTGAATAACGGTCGAACAACTCCTGGCTTTCCGCCATGGACCACCGCTCGTCCCAGTGGACGAACTGGCGTCCGGTGTACAAGTGGTAGGGCCGCATCTTCCCTTCCGGAAGGAGGTCACCGTTCTCATCCAAAGGCGGCAAACTGTCCCAGTTGGAAGTTGCAGGCAATGGAGTCAACAGGTTTACGGTCTGGTACTTGCTGACTTGGGTGACCCACTCGGCCAAGTCCATAACGCTCTCTTCGGTATCGAAGGGCAGGCCGATAATGGTCATCGCGACTACGGAAAACCCAAGCTCGTTAAGAGTCACCAAGTCTTTGTGCATTTGACCGGGTCCCTTCCTGGCGTTTTTTGACCAGCTTGAGGTTCTCCGCATTGTCCGACTCAACGCCGATGTACGCCATTTTAATGTTGGCGTCTGTCATAGCGTTGGCTAACTCAGCGTCCTGTCCGATCTCGGCACGCGCTTGGCAGATCATGTACATGTCGTCGGTATGACCCTTCCAGCCGTGGAGACGCTCTAACCGCTCGTTGCGGTATTTAACGGCCCGGAGCGGCGGCGGGTGCAGGTCATCCGATATGAACACTTGGAATTTGCCGTTGCGGGAGCTATGAATCAGTCCATCGGCAGCCAGGTCGCGCAGTTGGGTCAGCCGCTTGATTTCCGTCTCTCTTGAAATCAAGCGGTATCCGAGGAACTGCTGGATTACCTGACAATAAGTGCAACTCTCGGTGCAGCCCCTGACGGTCTCCAACACCCCGCCGGCCATCGGGTTCGCCGGGGTAAGGTCTCTGATAGACCTGAAGTCGGGCAGTCTGTGTCCACGAAATAGCTCCGGGGCGTCCACCAGGCCGCGACGCGCGTCTTTGACCGTGCCGTGTTCAAGTAACTATACCGGCATTTTGCCAAGGTAAGCCTCGCGATCACCTTGCTTGTAAGACAGCAGGATGTCGCAAAGCTGGCCAATGATGTCCTCGCTTCCCGTTGAACTATGACATCGAAATGGCCGTTATCAAAAGCTTCCTGGCTGAGAGGGCCCATCTGAGGCCCACCGCCGATGGTGATGATGTCCGGATGGTATTGCTTGGCTTGCCGCGCGACCTGGTACCCTCGGGGGGCCTCGTTAATCAGGGCGGTGACCATCAGGATGTCCACCCCGTCCAAGTCTTTATCCGGGTCGATTACGCCGCAGCGGTCTTCGAACCATATTTCCCGGTCGTACAGGTATTCGCCTTCCCATTGGGCAAGCGCCCCGGACAGGAACAACATCCCCTGCCGCGGGATAGCGATGTATTCAAAATTACCGCCGGCTGATGCCGGTTGAAGAAGCACTACCCGCTTTATCTTAGACGCCGTCGTTGCCATTACTCCTCCAATAGTCCCACAGCAGGAACCCCGCCATACCTTGTGTTGGTAATCAAGGGAGGTACGCTGTCAAACTCACCCGGTCACACGTACCTTTCGCCCAACCCTGTCATGGGCGGACTAATCCCATATTATACCTCAACACATGGGCAAATAATACTATACATCCGATTACGGCAGCGTTCCGTTTGGGGTGGTCCGTCCGCCAGACCACAGTCCGGTGGATTCCCGCCTTCGCGGGAATGACGATTGGGACCGGGAGTGACGGGTTGGGGTCAGTACAATCACGGTTGGAGGCAGTAATGAAACCACCTGAATTGCAACGCTACCTCCGATTACTCCTCCGCCATCGCTTCCAGTACCGCCCCCGGCGACATAGGCAGCTTCGCCATCCGGACGCCTGCGGCCCTGTAAATGGCGTTGGCGAGGGCCGGCACCGGCGGGATGATAGAGACCTCGCCAACGCCCCTGACTCCAGTGGGATGCCCAGGGTTGGGCACCTCAACCAACTGGGTGTCTATCATCGGCAAGTCGGTGCTGGTAGGGATGCGATAGTCCAGCAGTGTAGAGTTGAGCATCCGGCCTTGGTCGTCGAAAAAGTATTCCTCGTTCAACGCCCAGCCGATACCCTGCACCGCTCCTCCCTGCATTTGACCTTCCACGTAGCTCGGGTGCACCGCCGTTCCGGGGTCCTGCAAAGCAGTGTAGCGGAGGACCTGGGTCTTGCCGGTGTCCGGGTCGACTTCTACATCAACTATGTGTACGGCAAAGCATGGGCTTTCCCCACCTTGATCAGCCATGGAGCTGCCGACCACCGGCCCTCCGGTTGAACCCAGCCGGGCAGATAACTCCTTGAAGGTTATCCGCAGTTCCGTATCGGACGTGTGCCGGAAGACACCGTCCTCCAGTGTCACGTGTTCCGGCGACACGTCCCAAATCAGGGCGGCCCGGTCGATAAGCTGCGCCTTCACGTCGTTTGCAGCGTCATAACAAGCCCAGCCGGTCTTGTAGGCGACGCTGCTTCCGGCGGTAAAGCCGGTGAAACCGATGCTGTCGGTGTCGCCGACCGACGGGTGAACGTCCTCCACCGGAATACCAAGCACTTCCGCCACGTGCATCGCCACAGCGGTCCTGGTGCCGCCGATATCCGGCGACCCCTCCACCAAGCTGACGGTACCGTCCTGGTTTACGTTAGCCAAAGCGCAGGCAGGGCCGGAGATGTTGAAACAGACCCCGGTAGCCACGCCGCGTCCTCTGTTCGGTCCATCCAGAGGCGCGGAGTAATGAGGATGGTCTTTGGCGGCTTGCAGCGTTTCCAAGTAGCCGATGCGGCGGTAGGGGAGGCCGGTTACCCGCCGGGTGCCCTCGCTGGCACCGTTCAACAGCCGGAACTCCACAGGGTCCATTTCCAGCTTCTCACACAGTTCGTCGATAAGGGTCTCGCCGGCAAATCCGGCCGCCGGCCCACCAGGAGCGCGGTAGGGGGCGACCTTGGGTTTGTTCACCACTACGTCGTAGGCCTCGACTCTCACGTTGGCGATGTCATAGGGGCCGAAAATAAACTGGGTAGCCAAGGTGATGGGGGAGCCGGGATAGGCGCCAGCTTCATAAATGAAGACCGCCTCGGCCGCGGTTATTCGGCCGTCACTGCTGGCGCCGATTCTGGCCTTGATGTGTCCGCCTGACGTGGGGCCGGTCCCTTGGAACTCTTCATCCCGTGCTAGGGTGATCTTGACCGGGCGTCCAGACTTTTTGGAGAGCAATGCGGCAACGGGTTCGATGTAGACGTGGAGCTTGCCCCCGAACCCGCCGCCGATCTCCATGGGCACGACCTTGATTTGGGAAACGGGAACGCCCAGCACCATCGCCGAAAGGTCTCTCATGGAGAAGTGGCCTTGAGAGCTGTCCCAAATGGTGATAGTCCCGTCCTGGCGCCACATCGCAGTGGCGGTATGCGGCTCGATGTAGCCTTGATGCACAGTTTTGGTGTGGAACTCACGCTCCACCACAACGTCCGCTTGTTCGAAACCCTGCTCAATTTCGCCCAGTTGAAACACGAAATGGCTGGCGACGTTGGACGGTTCCGCGTTGTCGCCATCGTCAAGCAACCCGCCCGGGCGGAAATACTCACCCTCGGAGTGGAAGAGCCTGTCGTGCAGAATGGGCGCGCCGGGTGCCATGGCTTCTTTGCCGTCCAGCACCTCCGGCAACACCTCGTAGTCCACTTCGATGAGAGACAGGGCTTGTTCGGCAACGTGGGGACTGCCAGCGGCCACCGCCGCCACGGCGTGACCCCGGTAAAGGGCCTTATCGGCGGCCATGACATTGTTGCTGAGGAAGCGCGGGTTCAACGCCGACCCTTCGCCAACGTCCACCGGCCTGCCGGAAAGGGTTGGAAGGTCGGCCGACGTAACGACGGCCTTTACTCCCGGAAGCGCCATTGGCTTGGTCGTATCTATCGACCGGATGCGGGCGTGGGCGTGGGGGCTTCTCAGTATCTTGCCGTGGAGCATACCGGGCAGGTTCACGTCAGCCCCGTAACGGGCTTGGCCTGTCACCTTTTCCAAGCCGTCGTGCCGGATGGGGCGTGTACCGATTACCTTGAAGTTTCCGGGGGCCTTTGTGTCTTGTTCAGTGGTAGTAGTCATCTTCTTCACCCATCGGCCAATGTACGTTGCGGACTTGCGACACATTGGCCCCTTAGCAGGTTAGAGGCTATCTCAAATCCCACTGTCCATGTGATTCCACGCATCACTGAACGAAAGCCTACAGATTCCCGCCTGCGCGGGAATGACGGGTTAGGTGTTACAGCAATTTTTGAGATAGTTTCTTGGTGTTCCCAGGCTATTATAGTCGACAATCGGGTAGGCCGACGTAGGCGAATCAGTCCTCTTCTGCCCAGACCAGATCCAGACGGTAGCGCCTTACCCAGGGGATGAGGGTGCGGAGGAGTTCATGACCGTCAATTTCGACTTTTTGCGGCGGCATTTCTCCAGGTACCTGTTGACCTCCATGAAAGTGGGGAGGCGGAAGCCGGCCTTGACTAGCCGGGAACGGAAGGAACGGGGCTCGGGAAGGGGTTTACGGTTAGTGTGGGCCACGAACCACTGGAGTCGAAATTCACTAACCAACCGGCGGAGACGGACGATGGCGATTTCCTTGGCCATTTTTCGTTGGAGGGCGCGGACGCGGGCTCTCAGTTCTCCCATAATTGAACATTCACCTCGTATGTTTTTTTGAGGGCGCGGACCGGGAAATTCTTGATTTTCCCTCTCATTTCCTCTCACTTTCTCCCATTTTGCCCGGGTGACAGGTTTTCAGCCCCACAGAGCGTGGGCGCAGTTCGATCGGCAATACCATTGGGCAAGCGCAGGGTGAAAGGCCGCCCAGATATTATGTTAGGGAGGTGTTGTACGAAGTGGCAAGGGGCGGATGTCAGTGGGTTTGATTACGAGGGTTGCAGTTGCCTTAGTGTTCACACAAGCTGAGGCCATAACGAGGGTTGACACTACAATGACGTGGGGTGACGATTGGGACGATGAAAAGACCCTTGAGGAGCCCAGGGCATGAGGCAGATAGAGATTGGTAGATGGGTACGGTCGCGGTGGTTAATAGTGGCGGCTGCCGTTGTTGTCGTGGCGTTCATTGTTGGGCTGGCCTTCGGTCTCTCCGGAGCGGACCGCACGATTGCCCAGGAGGGGTCAACAGACCTGCCGCCACCACCCCCACACATGGTGGCAACGCCCGATGGGCCTGTCCCAACAATGGACCATACCAAGTACCCGATAATAGCGGAGACGGAGCCTTATACCGCCCCTGTGGAACGATGGGAGGCGAAAACGACCGCGGGCAATTCCACCAAGCCTGCGACGGGGAACTATCTCTACCTCCCGGCCATTGACAGGTACTTCAGCCTCCCGGACGACGTTGAATTATATAGAACCGTTCAATTTGGCTCATGCGACTCGGAAATCCGCTGCCCCGTGTTTCCTGTTCTATTCTACAAGAGAGGTGAGGCGAGGATAGCGATCGACCAAGTGGGGCAGGTCTTTGAGGAGATTGAGGGTGGCGGGGGTGACGCATCAGCGTTCCCGTTTTTCACAGGGAAGGAAGACCCATGAGCAACCGTATGCTTATTATAATGGACAACCCGGCAGGGCTAACGTACCATGCCCCGGCGTTCTGCCATCACCACAGGATATGGAGGAAATATGCGCGTTATCAGGACCAGTGAAGTTGACGAACAGACCATGCCCACTGTCACTCCCATTCCGGGATGGACCGGCGGGCCGGTCTCCCGCACACAGCAACCGTTGGTCACGCCCGACACGTCGGACTTCTACAACGCCATCGTGGTCAACTTTACCAAGGGCGCCACGACAGGATTTCACGTCCATAACAGTGATCAAATCCTGGTCATAACCGCCGGAGTCGGCATCGTAGCGACCGAGCAGGAGGAGCGGGAAGTGGCCGTCGGCGACATTGTGCACATCGAAGCGGGCGAGAACCACTGGCATGGGGCGAAAAAAGAGTCGACCATGTCCCACATCTCCATCCTGACCGCTACCGGCTGAGAGACTATCTCAAAACCAATCAGTCTCGCTGATTTCCCTACGTCGCTGACCGAGGCCTGTGGATTCCCGCCTGCGCGGGAATGACGGGGTGGGTGCAGGAATGACGGGGTGTACGGTGGAATGAGGGGGTGGGTGCTGCGACAAGTTTTGAGATAGTTTCTAAACACTCTCTAACGCGCTTCTGCGTCCGGCGAGCGTCATCAAGGCCCTTCTCCCCTTTGGGAGAAGGGCAACAGGCCATTAAACGCTGCGCCCGGCGTACTCGGCTTTGGCCGCTTCAACCAGCGAGGGATCAAGCAGCAGGTCGGTCGCCGTCAGGCTCAGGACCTTGGCCACTGACAGCGCGTTGGCGAGGGCCAGACCTGTAACCGCGGTCTCACACATTTCCCTGGTGTGAGAGGGTACCGGAGTTTCGCTGACCGCATACCGCAACTCGAAGCCCGGCATGGCGTGGCTGACGTTGCCGAAGTCGGTGGATGCGCCGCTGCCGGGACGCCCGGGTATCGGATCGTCCAACTTCATGCCCAAAACTTGGGCGTTGGCTCGCATGGCTTGGGACAACGTGGCGTTGGGCCGCACGTTCTCGTAGAACGGATAGAATTCCTGCACCTCCAGCCGGGCGCATGTCATCAATGCGGCTCCCTCCGCGATGTCCCTTACCTTGCCGACGACAACGTCGCTCAAGTAACGGCGGTCGCGGCAGCGCAGCATGAAGTTGGCGGCGGCGAACTCGGGCACCACGTTCGGCGCCATACCGCCGTCGGTTATGACACCGTGAATCCGGACGTCGTCCCGAAGGTGCTGGCGCATGGCGTCGATGCCTGTGAACAGGTGGATGACGGCGTTCAGGGCGTTGATACCCATTTCGGGGGCAGCCGCGGCGTGGGCGGCCTTGCCATGGTACATGTAGCGGTAGCCTTACCATCGCCAAGCTCCAGCTTTCGCCCGCGGCGGCGGCGGTGGGTATTATGGTGCGGTTCGAGAACGGGTGGGACGAAAGGGTCACGTCCACGCCGTCGAACACCCCGGCTTCCAGCAAACGTATTTTGCCACCCCCGCCCTCTTCGGCAGGCGTACCGATGACCATAATTCGCCCAGGCAAGCCGTTGGCATTGGCTTGCAGGCCCAGACCGGCGCCCATTGCTGCCATGGCAATGAGGTTGTGACCGCAACCGTGGCCAATCTCCGGCAAGGCGTCGTACTCAGCCAGGACCGCAATGGTTGGCCCGTCACCCCCGCCACCGGGGATGATAGCGCGGAAGGCTGTCTCCACCCCGCCGATGCCGCGCTCGACATGGAGGTTGTGCTTCTCAAGGAACCCTGCCAAGGCTGCGGAGGAATAGAATTCCTGGTAGTTCAACTCGGGGTGGTCGTGAACGTCTACCGACAGGTCGAATAACTCCTGCTTGGCTGCCTCGATGGCCGTGTTGGAACTAGCGGCCAGCGCGTCTTTCGATGGGGCGTTGTCACGGGTCATGGTGATAGCACCTCCGGTAAGGGCGATTTCAGAAGCGGGTATTGCCAACTGGCAACATGAAAAGGCTGCCGCCATTATCGGCGGCAGCCGGGCCTAATCTGCCAAGGGTCTGACTTAATCGTCGGCTACGTTGGCCGTTTCCTCCAGTTGGCGAGGGAAGTTGCCGCCGAAGAGGCCTTTCTCCGGGTGGCGTTCCCACTGAGACTTCGGCATCTCGTAGTAGACCTCAATCTCGTTGTCATCCGGGTCCAGAAGGTAGACCCCCATCGAGACGCCGTGGTCGCCGATCCGCAAAATCCTGGCGTCGCTCTCCTTCAGCCGGTCGTACAACTCCTGAAGGTCTTCGAAGCTCTCCATCTGCCAAGCCATGTGGGCCTGCCCAACGACGGAGTGGTCCGGCCCGGCGGCGTCCATGCCTATGGCGCGGATGGCCAGTTCGTGGGACTTCTCGGTGTTAGCCGACATGAACACGGTGCCGCCGGCGGTTTTTTCCATGACGGTCAATCCCATGACCCTGGTATAGAAGTCCACCGAGCGGTCGATATCCCGTACCCTCATGACCAAGTGACCCAAGTGCTTAGGTGTGTAAGACATGCGCTTCCCTCCTCAAAATATGGTTGCAGCGAAAGTCTAGTTTCCGGGCCAATCTTCCAATTCCAGGAACCGGCGTACCTTTTTCTTGAAAGGCTCCTTGTCGTAATTCTGGAATAGGGTAATCGAGTTCCGCACCGGGTTACCGCCGAACATCCGCTCGTAGAGGACCTGCCGTCCGCTGAAGGCGCTGCACGACGCGTCCCAAGCCAAGTGGAACAGCTTAGCCCGATCGCGGGCATTGGTGGTGTCGGTGGCGAAGTACTGCTCCAACTCAGGCCCAATCTCGGCTTCGAAGTCAGCCTCAGCGGGCAGGGCCATCAGGCTGCCGGTGCCCAGAAGCTGGATTATCTCCACCATCCTGGGGTACATGGACCTTCCGAACACGTTGCGCCCGGCCCGAAGGGCGTTTATGTTCGGGCACATCATACCCCACTGATTGGGGGCGGCGTCGGCCTCGGCGGCGCGGACGCACGACCTCAGCACGTCCCGGTAGGTGATCAACTCCGCCACCTGTTCCTGCACGTGGGGAATGGTTCCCGACCCCAGGGTGTCCACAATAAGGTCGGCCAAGCCCAGGGTGAACTCGGTCTTGACCAAGCAGCGGTTCAAAATCTGATGCCCCGTATGAGAGTCCGACTGGGTACCCATCCCGTATCCGTTGCACAACTCCACGTCGCCCAACAGGAAGACCCTCTCCCAAGGCACCAACACGTTGTTGAAGAACACCACGGAGTCCATCTCCTCGAATCGGGAGCCGAGGGGGTGATTGAAGTGGGAGCGGCCCAAGTCGAAGCTCTCACGGCAGAGGAACTTCACTCCGGGGGTGTCGCATGGGATGGAGAAGGAGAAGGACTGGCGCCGGGCGGTCTCGTCCAAGCGGTGGCTGGCCACCGGGTAGATTGCAATCTCGTCGGAGATGGGCCCGAGGGTGGCGAGCGTGCGGCTGCCCTTTACCACAATACCGGCGTCGGTCTCCTTCACCAGCGTCAGGGCGACCTCGCCGCTCAGGATGTCGGTCGGCCCCGGGTTGCGGCGGCGTTGCAGGTTGACCAAGGCATGGGTGAGGGTGACGTCGTTTTCCCGGATGAACTCGTGGTAGTTGAGGACGTTCTGCTTGTATTCAGGCCGGTCCTGGGCAAAATAGTCAGCCGACCCGGCCCACGCAGAGAATATGGAGTTCATAAAATCGGGAGAGCGACCCATCATACCGCAACTGGCCCAAGCCCAGCGGGACATCATCTCCCGCCGCCGCACCAAGTCGTCGATGGTCTTGGGGACCATGAAAGACAACCCAACCGGTTCACCAGTCGTGGGCGAGGCGAAGGTCATCTCCTCACGCAACGACGGGTCGTGCTGCATGTCGTAGAGGGCGGCCACCGAGCGCACCCCGTTGCGGAGCGCCGGGTGGGTGGTCACGTCCTTGACGCGCTCCCCATTGAGCCACACCTCCCTAGGGCGGTCCTTGAGGCCGGAGATGTATTCCTGTCCGGTGCGAACTGGCATTGTGTTTCACCTCCGCAAGGTAGTTGGAGTTGGTGGCGAATCGCGCGGGAAAGCTGGATTTATTGCATGGTTACTCGCCTATGGTTAGGCTCCGATGAAGTCAATATCTACTTCCCCGCGCGACCTGTCAAGAAAAAACGTTGGCCAAGCTATAATAGGCGGACTATCAACAGGGGCGATGAAAGAGAATGGTTATGGCTCAGGATGTACTCAGGCTTTTCACTGACGCCAAGAACCTGCACGAATCAGCTTTGAAGGTTGCAGAAGACGGAGACCTTCGAGATGCGGCTGAAAAAGCGTGGGGAGCCGTGAACAGGGCGACTGCGGCTTTGGTGCTGGCGAGGACTGATACATTACCGGTGCGATCCCCTGAAGTGACTCATGGGCTGGTTGAGCTGACCGATGACGATTACCGATTGTTTGATTTGAGAAGGTCTTATTTCGATTTTCAAGGTCTGTTACACGGCACGTATTTTTACGATGGGCGATTGGGGCCGCCGTCCAAGGTCATGTCGGAAATCAGCAGAGTTGGCGAGTATATACAGGAAGCCGAACGATGGGCCAACGGTTAAAACCCGTACCACCGGGACAATCCACCCGAGAGTCCGGGAGGCATGATGACTGACTTCAAGACCGGAACAGTACTCGCCAACGGCATCAATTTTCACTACCTGGAGATGGGCGAGGGGCCGCTGGCGTTGTGCTTCCACGGGTTCCCGGACCATGCTTGCTCGTTCCGCCACCTGTTGCCGGACTTGGCCGAATCGGGGTTCCGGGCAATTGCTCCGTTCATGCGGGGATATGCTCCGACCGAGGCCCCCAAAGATGGGAATTACCGGGCCGTTTCCCTCGCTCAGGACGTCGTAGCCCTGGTGGATGCCTTGGGTGGCGGGCAGGCGTACCTCATAGGCAACGACTGGGGGCGCCGGGGCCGTAATCGGCGCGTCGGTGCTGGCGCCGGAGAAGGTGAACAAGCTGGTCATCATCGCCTCTGGCCGCGTCGACGAGGAACTGGCAATGGACTACTGGTACCTCAGGGGCACCTGGCATTTTTACTTCTTCCAGATGCCCTTCGCCGAAAGGTCGGTGGCCCACAACGACTACGCCTATGTCGAGCAGTGGTGGCGCGACGCCTCACCCGAGTGGGACATTCCGGCCTACGCCCTGGAAAGTATCCGCGAGACCTTCCGCAAGCCGGGGGTGGTGGAGGCCGCTCTGGGCTACTACCGGGCAAGGTTCGGCCCGGCGCCACAAGACCCCGCGTTGCTGAGAGACGAGGAGCGGATCAACGCTGGCCCGGTGACTGTCCCGACGCTGGCTCTGCACGGCACCCGCGACCGCCCCAAGCGGCTGGAGTCCTTCGAGAGCGAGGCTATGGACAACTACTTCACCGGCGGGCTGGAGAAGGTGATTATTCCCGGCACCGGCCATTTTATGCACCAAGAGAAACCGGAGGAAGTAAATCCCAGGATAGTGGAGTTTGTAACGCGGTGATGGGTCTTATCACCTAAAACCCGCATGGCGTCCAAGGAGCGAGCCGGGTGGCGAACAAGCGGTCGGCGCGGAGCAGTGCGCCCGACGTGCGTTCCTCCACCAAGCCCGCTTGGAAGAGCCTAGTGAGACTGGCAGCGCCGAGGTAGGCCGAGGCCAAGCCGGCGACGGTGACGGTCAAGTCGGGCGATGCGGTGGATGGGCGGCACGTGGCCCCTTCGGGAGAAGCCTCCAACTCGAAGCATCCTTGGTTCCAGGAACACAGGTCGTCGCGCACCTCCAACACCAACCGGCCGCTTTCCATGTAGCTCCGCAGCTCCAGGGATTCGGCTACGTCCACCAGTCGCAGCCACAGACCGTCGCGCGTGATCCTTTGCAACTGCCGTGGGTCTGCCAGCATCCACAGCATGGGGTCATCCACGGGGCGCCTTTCCGCCTCGGTCCGGGTGACCAAGTCCAGGTCGAAGCAAAAGCGCCATAACGCGGCGTTGGCCTCGGTGGTGGTTGCCATCAACTCGTTCACGATAAGAGTATTCCCGCTGGTGCGGTACTTGGCATAACCGTCAATTCTCCCGCCATCTTCGTAGGCGATATAGAACAGGCCACCCTGGCCGCCTTGGCGGTGCTCCGGCGCTTGCTTTTCCCGCTCCCACAGGTGACTCGACTTCTGGAACACTCCCGGCCTGTCTTTGGTGCTGCGGCGGAAAACCTCGGGCAGGTCATTTGTGATGTTGGCAGGGTCCACAAAGACCATGCGGCCGGGAGTGTCATAGGGGCGGGCATACCGGTTGTGCTGCCGCTCGATGGTCCACTGTTCACGAAACGAACTCATGCCATACCCATACCTGCCGTAAATCACGCTTTCGGAAGCAAACAGCGCCGCCAACGGCTCACCGCGCTCATGGATACCATTAATCTGATGGTGCATCATCCTGGTCAAAATCCCTTGGCGGGTATGCGTCGGCTGCACGGCGATATTGGCGACGCCCGCTACTACAGCCAAGCCCCCGGGGACCGACATTTCCAGCTTATGAGAGTGAGCGCCGCCGACGACGTTGCCTTCGTCGAAGACGGCGATAGAGCGGTCCAAGTCGAAATGGGGCCGCAATATCTCCGGGTCGACGTTCAACCGGTTGCCGTAAGCCCGCGCCTCAGCCCAAACCCACCGGAAGAACTCATCGGGGTTTACGGTCCTCATTTCAAGCATCTAAATGACTCTCCATGTTAATCAATCGGTCCCATCAAACATATCGGATTATAGGACATGACGCCACATGCGCTTCACCACTCCGGCGCCGTCGTTACTGCGAAAGCGATAGCCAGCAACTGCCAAGGAAGTAACCGATAGAGAACAGATGAGATGCCGGCCTGAACCACAATGACGAGTTAGCCAGCCGCGCTCCGGTGGAAACGCGATTCCCGAGGTATCAATACGCGGCTGCCCCGTCGATATTCAGGAAGCGGAAGGTTATTGACGGCGGTGACATGTCATTGGCTGTCCCCGTTATCGAGGCGTTCTTCAAGCCGGCGGAGCGCTTCCCTCGTAGAGCGTAGTTCGTTCAGGAGATCTTCTCTGGATACCGGCTGCTGCAACTTTCTGAGATGGTCGGCCTTGGCTTCGTCCAGGTTGTTGATGATTATGGCGATGAACATGTTTATAACGACGAAGGTGCCGACTATTACAAAACTAACAAAGTATACCCAAGCGAAGGGGTTCATTTCCATGGCGGTGCGCATCACATCGGTCCAACCCTCCAAGGTTATTATGTTGAACAGGGTCAGCAGACTGATACCCAGGGTCCGCCAGTTGTCCGGGTCGTGTTCGTGGAAGAGGTGGTAGCCCATTACGGCGTAGATGTACACAATGATGCTCATCAGCATCATGACATGGCCGACGCTGGGGATAGAGCGCATCAACGCCGAGATGATAAGGCGTAACTCCTTGACGGCAGAGATGAGCCGCAGCACCCGCAACAGGCGGGCGAGACGGGCGATCATGGCGAACTGCCCGGTGGCGGGGACCAACGCCAGCACTATGATGCCAAAGTCGAAGAGGTTCCAACCATCGAAGAAATATCCGGAGAAGCGGGGCGCCGACGCTGTGATCTTGAGGGCCGCCTCGACGATAAATATGCCGAGAGCCACCTGATTCCCCAAATGGAACCAATAGCCATAGTGGCGTTCCAGGGTGACGGAAGTCTCCAAGCCCAGAAGTATGCTGTTGGCGATGATGACCGCGATTATGCCAAATTCAAAGGCTCGCGTTTCAACCAGCCGACTGGATAAATTCACTACCTTGTTCATCGCGGCCCGCAACTACGGACAGGGATGGAAGGGGTTTGTATCTCCAAGGCCAAGCGCAACTTCTCAGGGGACATTTATACGTGATCGATTGCTTGAATAAGAGAATGACTCCGCCGTATCCCCGGCGCGTTGCCAACTGTCCGTGTACAGCAAAGACAGGGCCGACATCGGCGAGGCATTTCTATTATGAAGCAAGTCGCCCATCCATTCCAGTACGCGAGGGACAAGCTATAGCTATATTGGACGCGGTCACTTCGAAGACTGCTCCCGGTTTTGTTTTCCAGGCTTGGAAGTCTTATAGTGGGGGGCCTGTAGCGGCGTCCGCCCGCGGGGCGTATGCCGCTTGCGGAGGTTGGCGCATCCGGTTAGCCAAATACCATAGATAACCAATAACGTAGTTTTGTATGCGGAGGGGACATCAATGGGAAGGCTGGATGGTAAGGTAGCCCTTATCAGCGGCGGCGCGCGAGGGCAAGGCGCCGCCGAGGCGAGGATGTTTGCCCAGGAAGGAGCTAAGGTGGTCATCGGCGATCTGCTGGACGCGGAGGGCATCGCGGTAGCGGGCGGAGATAGCCGAGGCCGGGGGCGACGCTCTGTACGTCCACTTGAACGTAACCAGTGAAGACGACTGGCGGGAGGCAATCCAAGCCGCCGTCTCCAGTTTCGGCAAGCTCAACGTGCTGGTGAACAACGCCGCGATATGGCGCAGGGGCCGTGTGGAGGACACTAGCGTGGAGGACTGGGATGCGATAATGGATGTCAACGCCAAGGGGGTGTTCCTGGGCACCAAGCTGGCCATCGACGAAATGCGGAATGCCGGCGGCGGCTCCATCATCAACATCTCTTCCACCGCCGGCTTGGTCGGCAGCCCCAGAAGCGCAGCCTACAACGCATCGAAGGGCGCGGTGCGGCTGTTCACCAAGGCTACCGCTATCCAATACGGCAGAGAGGGGATTCGGGCCAACTCAATACACCCCGGACCCATCGACACCGCGATGATTCACGGCATCTGGCAGGGTGACGAACGAAGCCGGGAAGAGTCGATTGCCAGGACCGCCTTGGGCCGGGTTGGCACCGTGGAGGACATCGCCTATGGCGCAATGTTCCTAGCTTCGGACGAATCGTCCTTTATGACCGGCAGCGAATTGGTGATGGACGGCGGAGTCACCGCCCAGTAAGCGGGTTGTTCAGGCCGGCTCCAGCCAGTCTTCACCGATAAGCTCAATGCCGCCGTCGTCGAGCACGATGTAATACGAGGGAGGCGTCTCCGTGTGTATGGAGTTAGCCTCTTTCAACCACTCCGAGGTGGACTGATCTGCGATGGTCGCAAGGATACCCTTGCAGTCGTTTGGCGGCGGCTTATGGGGGCCATTGCTGGTCTTGATACGAACCCGTTGGTTGTTGCTGTACTTCCTTACCATATCGTATGTTCAGGCGTGCCCGTCGTCCCAGCGCACACCGTTGAGAGCCTCCCAACGAGTCTTTTTTGTATTGCTCCGGTCAGGAATATCTCTCGTCGGCTCGCGGCGTATAGAGTCGAGGAATGCCAAGAGCCGCTTCGCATCTCTTATTCCCAAAGCTACGTCGGTATCCGTCATTCCACCTTCGTAGAAGTTTTTGTGCAGCAAGTCAACATATGAAAACCAGTGCTTCACTTGGTCTTCATCCACGTCGTCAGCGAACTCGTCGGCCAGTTCGCCCAAGGCATCGCCGATGCTCCGGTGATGACCGTGTATCCACCCTCGCTGTTGGGCCACGGACTTTATGCCGGTGGACACTGCGCCCCAAGCCTTCTCTCCGGACTGGCGGTAGTCCTCCCGTCCGAATTCATCATCGGCCTGCAGGATGTACTCCTGGCTCAGGGACCAATACCACTCAGGTGTATTTTTGATGGGTTGGGCTATCACTGATTATTCTCCAAAGGCATGATACCACTAACGGCCGATCGCTTACTATTTTGACCGCGTCAATCAAGAATGACGTTGTCTATCAGCCGGGTGTTGCCCAACCTGACGGCGACCGACACCATCGCCCGGCCTTGGACCTGCTCCAGCTCTTCCAGGGTTTCGGCGTCGGCTACGCTGACGTAATCTATGCCGTCCAGGACCGGTTCCTGTCGCAAGGTTGCCAAGACTTCGGCCCGGAGCCTGTCTCCATTCCTGCCACCGTCGCCCCACAGGCGACTCGAGGCGCACAACGCACGGTATATGACGGGGGCGGCACGCCTCTGCTCCTGAGTCAGATAAACGTTCCGGCTGCTCAGGGCCAACCCGTCAGAGTTCCTTACTGTGGGGACCACCACGACGTCCACCCTGAAGTCCAAGTCCTTGACCATCTTTCGCACTATGGCCGTTTGTTGCCCATCCTTCTGGCCAAAGTAAGCCCGGTCAGGTTGAATCAGGTTGAAAAGCTTGGCCACCACCGTGGCGACGCCGCGGAAATGGCCGGGACGGTGAGCGCCTTCAAGCTTGTCGCCCAAGCCGCCGACCTCCACCCAACTGTCGAACCCGGGCGGGTAGACCTCCTCGACATCAGGGACGTAAACCAAGTCAGCCCCCTCGTTGCGAAGCAGATCCAAGTCTTTTTCAAGATCCCGTGGGTACTTCTGCAAGTCCTCCCCTGGACCGAACTGGGCGGGGTTGACGAAAATGGTCGCCGCCAAGGTCCTGTTCTCTTGCTTAGCCAGCCGCACCAGAGCCAAGTGCCCTTCGTGCAACGCTCCCATGGTGGGCACCAAGCCCACGGGGCGCTCCACGGAACGGCAAACGTCTTTCATGTCCTGGTTAGTGTGGATTACTCGCATTGTCACGACCCGTCCGGTTGGTCCATGTACGCCTGTGACCGGCGCTTACAAGTCCCCCTGACCGGAGTGCATTTGCTACCGGGATAGCGCCTGCAACTCTTCAAGCACTGCCGGGTCCATGGTGAAGCTTTGCTTGTCCGTGGGGAAGTCTCCCGCTTCAACCTCTTGCATGTACTGAGCGAAGGCCATTTTTATGGACTCGGACAGTTGGGCAAACTGCTTGGCGTGTTTGGGAGAGAAGTTGGTAAACAGGCCCAGCATGTCGTGGAGAACCTGGACTTGGCCGTCGCACTCCGGCCCAGCACCGATACCGATGGTAGGAATGGTCAGCCGGCTTGATATGAGTCCAGCCAAGGGAGATGGCACCAGTTCCAGGACGACGGAATAGGCCCCAGCTTGCTCCAAGGCCTGGGCGTCCCGCAATAGCCGCTCCGCCGCTTCCAAGCCGCGCCCTTGCACCCGGTAGCCGCCCAAGGCGTTGACCGACTGAGGAGTAAGACCGATGTGCCCCATCACCGGGATGCCGCACTCGACCAAGCGTCGCACTGTCGGCGCCATCGATTCCCCGCCTTCCAGCTTCACCGAATGGGCACCGCCCTCCTGCATGAGCCGGGCCGCGTTGGTCAGCGCCTGTCCCGCGTCTACGTGGTAGGTCATAAACGGCATGTCGGCGACCAGCAATGCCTGCTTGGCGCCGCGGCTGACCGCTTTCATGTGGTGCAGAATGTCTTCAAGGGTTACTTGGATGGTGGACTCATAGCCCAGGACCACCATGCCGAGGCTGTCTCCCACGAGAATTATGGGTATCCCGGCATTATCGGCCAGACACGCCGAGGTGTAATCATAGGCGGTAATCATGGGTATCTTCTTGCCGTCCGCTTTCATGCGGGCGATGTCACGGATTGTTACTTTCCCCATGACCGTTGCCTCCTCATGTAGACGTCCCACCTTCATCCCAACCTTCTCCCAAAGGGAGAGATCCATTACGCCCTATTTGCACCGTTTCAATCGTATTCCACGTAGTGGTCTACCAATTCTTCCATGGCCGTAAGTTGGTCCGGCCCGACGCCATGCTTAACGGCCAAGGGGAACGAGGCCCTTGCCAAGCTGGAATAGACCGGTAGAATCTCGGGCATCCGCAAAAACAGGGACTCCAAGTGAGACCGCAACGTCACTGCGTCTCCGCGTATCACCGGGCCGGTGGCCGCAGTCGTGATGCCGTGTCTCGCAACGTTGTCCAGCGTCGCGTTGGCCAACGGATACAGCGCCCGTATCGCTTCCTCAGCTGAAAACCCCATTTCTTCCCAAAGGCTCACCGCGCCCTGCAACAAGGCGACAAGGTAGCCGCATCCCAACACCGCCGCAGCATGGTACATGGGCCGGAATTCATCGGCTATAACGACGGGATAGCCCCCAAGAACGCGGGCCATATCCCCTAAGTAGTCCACCAGCCAACCGTCTCCGGCAATGGCAAATGTCACCCCAGCCAGTCGCTCGCTTGACTCATCAGGGTTTTGGACTCCGGCGAAAGTCTGGAAGGGATGCAACGCTCCCGTCAAAGCGCCCAGCTTCTTCGCAGGAGCAAGCAACTCGGTGGAGGCCGCGCCACAACAGTGGACTACCGCTTGCCCCGGCCGCCAGTCCACCGCAGACGCTATGCCGCCGATAACCGAGTCCGGCGTAGTGATAAACACCAAGTCGACGGCGTTGGCCAGTTCTTGTGCCGAAGGGTAGACATCACACCCGGGAATTCTGTCGGCCAGCCATTGGGCGGAGTTGGCGGACCGGCTGTAAGCTCCCGCTACCCGGTACCCCCGGCCTGTTAAGGCCAGGGGAAGTCCCTTGCCGAGCACTCCAATCCCGATAAACCCTATAACCAGGTCGCTATTAACCATATCCGAGTTCCCTTATTGAGGGGACGCCACCGAGACCCGTAGCGGTCTGCACTGCGCGAAGTACGGCCCGGGCGGTGGCCTCAACTACGGCCGCGCCCAGAACAGTAGCATCGGCGGGGGCGGTACGGCGGCCGGTTGCAAGGGCGAACATCGTGTCACCATCCCGCATCGTGTGGCAAGGCCTTATAGTCAAAGCCAATCCATCATGGCTCAAGGCTGCGAGACGATTGACCTGTTCTCGTGTCAGGAACGCGTCGGTGGCCACGACCCCTATGGTGGTGTTGGTCATTGGCGGGGCCTCGCTGCTATCAGAGCCCGACAACAGCAACTCCACCGGGTCTTCCATGCCGTCGCCGCTTTCAAGCCTTGGACCTGCAATAAGGCGGCCCGTTTGGTGGTCGACAACGCCACCGTAGGCGTTGACCGCGACAATCGCCCCAACCAGGAAGCCGCCGGGCAGTTTCAACACCGCAGAACCGATGCCCCCTTTAATGGCGCCCTTCATACCACGCGCTTTGGCCACCGTCGCGCCTGTCCCGGCCCCTACACTCCCTTCCTCAACCTGACCCGTGTGGGCGGCGAGGCAAGCCGCCCACCCCTCTTCCGGTCCCGGACGGACATCAGACGTGATCAAGCCCAAGTCGAACAGTATGGCCGCGGCGACGATGGGCACCACCGTATTACCTATGGCGTAACCAACACTTTGCTTGGACAAGTACCGCATCACTCCGGATGCAGCGTCCAAGCCGAAGGCGCTGCCGCCACTGAGCACTATCCCGTTGACCCGCTCTACCTGATGCGTCGGTCTCAGCAAGTCGGTTTCCCTGGTACCCGGTGACCCTCCGCGAACGTCCACGCCGCCCACCGCTCCCTCCCGGCAAAAAACCACCGTGCAGCCGGTGGCGTTGGACAGGTCGGTATAGTGTCCCACTTCCAAGCCTTCGACAGCGGTGAGGGAGGCGTTCAACAGCGCCCTCCGGGGGCATCATCGGAGGGAAAAGGGCTAACCACAGAGCAAATACGAAAGCCCCAAGGAGCAGGAGAGGACAAGGGAAATAGCTTCAGTAGCATGGCCGTCTCGGTCGTCATAAGATCCCAGCGGCGCAAAAAGTCGTTGTGTGCGGAAACCCTGTTGCTCGCGTCCAGCCAAGGGTACGCGGCGAGTCAATTACCCGATCATGGTCGAGTACAAGTTTAGGAGCGCCCCAAGGGAGTGTCAAGACGACGGATCAAGCCGTCAGACCCGCCGCAGCGGCACGATTATCGCCAGTAACGCCGCCGCGCCGTCCAAAACCGCCGCGGTTGTTATGTATGTAGTAGTAGATTGAACCCAAGCCGCCGAAATGCTCGATTATCAGAATAGCCAGGAATGGTGTCGCTCCGCCTATGATGCCGTTGATGTCTCGATCGGAGCCCCACTGCGGTAGCTTCCGTGCCTCGTCCCACCACGTCCAGCACTGCCGCTTGGATAATTTGATGCAGCGCAAAAGCACCCAGCCCCAAACCGGCCAGGACCAATGGCAGGCAGCATAGAGAGCTCTCCAACCATCCACCACCAGAGGACAAGCAAACTGCCGAGAAGCCGCCCGGCACCACCAAAAAAAAAAAAAAAAACACCCAAAAACAAAAAAAAAAAAAAAAAAAAAAAAAACAAACACACCAAAAAACAAAACCACAAAACCAAAAAAAAAACACAAAAAAAAACAAAAACCGCCTCCGTCCAAAAACTGTCCGGAAATTGCGCCCAATATCGGGGCGGAGATAATGCCCATTCCCACGACCAACGCGTAGTGGACCCCGGCCTCAAAAGGGCTCATACCCAACCCGGTTTCCGCATCCTCCAAGTAGAACGGCGTCCAATTGAATAGGGCGCTAAGCGCAATTCCCCTCAGAGTGGCGGTTATGGTGAGGCCCATTACCGACGGGTTCTTGAGAAAGGCAAATCCTTGTCTGAACCGGGCGGCCAGCCTTATCTGAGGTTCCTGGCCCGCTCCTCTCCCTACATCCTTCAACGAACACCATACAAACATCGAGAGAAACAGCGCTGGGATAGCGTAAAGGAAAAACACATGCCGCCAAAAAAGCACGCTAAGCAACGCGCCCGCCGTAATGGGGCCCAGAACGTTTCCGATGTTTGAGCCGAACCCGTGCATGGCTATGGCGAATCCCCGCCGGTCGGGGAAACGCTGTGACAGGGCGGCAGTGGAGGGAAGATGCCAGAGGGAACCCGGGACCGACATGAGGAGTACGGCGAGGAACAGGATAGCAAAGTTAGGAGATGCACCCACGAAGGTGTAGGAGATGGCGGAGCCGATCATGCAACCGGTAAGGATCAGTCCCCATTGACTCTTCAACAGGTCGACTATGGCGCCGCCGCCAAGGTTGACCACGCCGGACCCGGCCTGCCTGACACCCAACAAGCTGGCTACTTGAGGGTAACTAAGGCCCAGTGATGAGGTTATTGCCGGCATAAATACGGGAAATCCTTGGTCGTAAAGGTGGGCTATCCCGTGCCCGGTGGCAATGCTTCCCAAAATAAAGCCCCGGTTCTGTCTCAGGTTTACCGGGGCCTCGGCAGCTGGTTCCAACAAATTCTACTCCACGCCTGTCGGATTCCCACGCCGATTCTAAGTTCAAGGCAACCCTCTGGCAAGTAAGACCAGCGCGGCGGGGCAGGACGATTGCAAAGTTGTTCGATTCGCGCCGTCCGCCCCGGAGACAACAGACTCTTCCTGGGTGAAACTGTGGATTCCGGCTTTGGCGGGATAGACGGGCTGGGAACAGATTCCACTGTGTGGAAAGACTTTGCAATCGTCCTGAGAGGCGGTAGGACACACCTAGCCCGGCGTTTGTGCCTGTGCTATGCTACCGCCGTCGGCGGCCCTTAAGGCGCTGCATAATTGAGAACGAAAAGACACAGCAAACAGACGGAGGTTGCCAAGCATGTTCGTAGTTAATCACATCCACTTGCGGTCTCCTGAGCCTCATCAAACGGTACAGTGGTACGTTGACGTGTTTGGGGCCGAATACCTCGGCGAAGGGGCAGGGCTGGCGGGTTCCATCCACGCTCACGCGATGGACATCGCGGGGACAACGGAGTACGTGAGCCAGCGAACGCGGCGAGAGGGGCGAGCAGTGCCCGATGGCAGTTCCGAGAACCATTACGGATTGGACCACTTCGGATTCGATGTCGAGGATATAGAAACGGCGATGGAGCACGTTCAGAGACAGTCCACGCGCGCCGAACGTGTTGCTATGCCGATAACCGCATGAAGCGGTGGTAGCTGATCTCCTACGTACAAGGGCCGACAACGGGCGTCATCGGCGAGTGAGTCCATGCAGCAATCGCCACGCCTAGCTCGTGCCACTCCGCGCCTGTCCGCAAGATTGCAATCACAAGCAGGGGGTGAATGACCTTGCCTTATTCCGGTCTCAGCTTGGAGACGCATGTCCGCATTTGTAACGTTCACGCCGAGGCATCGGCAGAGGCTGGCTATCAGGGCTTGGACCCCGAAGCGGGGCCAACGTGGCGGTATCGGATATCCCCACCAGCCTCGACCAAGCGAAAAACAGGGGCGG